CCTACAATACAAAAAAACTGTGCCTGTATCTCTCCTTTGAACTCAAAGGACATTAAGGGAAAGTATTGACAGAGAAGAGATACATAAGGCTTAAATTATGAAATTTTAATGAAAAACCTGACTTATTTTGTCCAGAGAGAGTCAAGCAAGTGTTTACCTACAGTATTCCTTAAGTATCATGTTAAGAAAGATGACGTTAACTAGCTAAAATTTTAAAAAACAACAACAACAACAACAACAGATTATTCTTCTCCACAATCACAGAAAGAACATATTTCACATCATATACAAAAGGTAGTTTGGACAGCTGAAAATTCCTCATCATCAATATTCATATTTGAACACTTCCTAGGAAAACTACTGGGAAGGTAAACATCATCCTGTTATGAATGTGCTAATTTACAAAAATTGGATCTTGAGAAAAGATCGTAATTTCTGAACTACAAAACCCATTAAGCCACAGGGAAAGAACATTATCTGTGATTTAGCATACTTCCTGGGGATTCCTCACCAAAAAACAATCTTCCCATACTGCTAAAAAAAAAAAAAAATCATTAAAAAGTACAGAAACTCAACAGGAATTTTCATTATAAACAGGACCATCAGGAATAGCAGAAGATTGTACTTCTGACTTCTACTATACAAATTTCATTGCCTGATAATCAAAACTACTTTTAAAGTACATACCTACTTCCCCATAACTAATTTTTTTTTAAAAAAAAGGTAAAGAGAGCAGCATATGGCATCGAGATCAATCCAAAAGTGACCAGTCATGTCATCTGTATTTCAGGAGGCTTGATACAAAGACATGATGGACAACTAGTGTCTATCTCTTCTGCACGACCACATTTAGAACTAGTGAACACACAATTATAAATCAAAGATAACACAAGCACAATGAAAAACATCATAAAACTATATAAAAGTATTCACCAGTTAGAACCAAGCTGAAACAGATTTCACACATACGTGCTGTCAAGATCCTCAAGAAGTATCAAAGGTAGAATATTAGCATATTAGAACTCTAGACTTCTCAATTATTTTTCCTCTTCTAGCATTTCTTTCATTCCTCGTAACTATCGCGTGGCTGAAAGAGAAGACTCTGCATGCTCCTGTTCAGACAGGACTTTGCAGACCAAAACCCCTCATCTCAATAACCTCTGCTTACTGCAGTCAGAAATAGGGCACAGCAGAGAGAACTGACCAGGATTGTGAAGTGGTGCTGAAGGACTACCTGGAGACAGAATGGAGCTACTTCGTTGTCTGTGACTGACAACCAAGAATTGTTAAGCACCTTGAACTATATGAACCACATGAAACGAGAATTCTCTTGCTCTCCTACTGTGCAGTCTGTAACATCAGGGTTTTGGGGAAAGAAGATTAAAAAAAATTTAAAAAAAAGTCAAACTACCCCCAAACTTCCCAGGAGTCCACTGAAAGCAAGATGACTACGCGGATATCAGCAAAACCAGTTTGGTGCCGTCTCCAGCTCCTGCTGGTAAATTGCCAGGAGGAAATACTCCAGGTGGTTTATGGAGGTTCGTATTAGGGAGATGCACTGTGTTCCACTTCTGTCATCTCCGCTTTTGCCAGTTAACACCTAGTAAAGGAGGCAGCACTTCTTGTCATCTAGCCTATTACCATAATCCAGTAAGTCTAAAGATTTATCCATGTGCTTTCCAAACTCATACACTTAAATCGTCCTTAAAGGCTGGTTTAACATTTTCAGTGGTTTATCTGGTTTTCTCACACTTATGCAGACTTGTAGGCTTCAACAAAAGCACCAGACATCGCTACACTGTACAAACACTTTCACATATTTCCTTACCTCGCTGTTCTTTGAGTTTAAATAACATGTACATCCAAGAAGACAGAGCAACACAAGAGAATTAAAGCAGAATTAGGAAATTAGATTTAAGAGGCAAAGGAGGTGATTCTCCCTCTCTACTCCGCTCTCATGAGACCCCACCTGGAGTACTGTGTTCAGATGTGGGGCCCCCAACATAAAAAAGATGTGGACCTATTAGAGAGAGTCCAGAGGAGAGCCACAAAATTGGTCAGAGCCTGGAGCACCTCCCTATGAGGACAGGCTGAAAGAATTGGGGTTGTTCAGCCTGGAGAAGAGAAGGCTCCAAGGAAACCTAATAGCAGCCTTCCAGTACCTGAAGGGGGCTACAGGAGAGATGGGGAGGCACTCTTGATCAGGGAGTGTAGTGATAGGACAAGGGGCAATGGGTATAAGCTGAAAGAGGGTAGATTTAGACTAGACATTAGGAAGAAATTTTTCACTGTAAGGTGGTGAGGCATCGGCATGGGTTGCCCAGAGAAGCTGTGGATGCCCCATCCAGCAACCTGGTCTAGTGGAGGGTGTCCCTGCCCATGGCAGGGGGGTTGGAACCTGGTGATCTTTAAGGTCCCTTCCAACCCCAACCATTCTATGATTCTACGAGAACAACAATAGTTGGAGAAACAGAGTCTAAGATGGGAAAGACACATACAACTTTTATTTTATAAAAGAAAGCCATTTCCCACTCACAAGCCTGAATTAAAACCAGACTCAGCAACCTGCAAGGATACTTAAGCATGGTGTCACAAGACTTGCTATGGTCCTAATGATTTAGGAAGCAACCACTGGCCATTTTTAGTTAAACAGCTCAGAGCAACAAGCAGCAATTAACTCACTTCACACAGACAATCTCAGCATCAAGAAGGTGACTTTTTGATCTTTCTCGCTACTATCCCGATGCTCAAAAACTTAGTGGAAATCTTCCTTTGCTACTTCTTTGCTTTGATTACAATTCTCACCTTTTCCTTCAATCATAAACAAGATTTTTCTGAACACATGCTTATGTATGTCAATACATTTTTCAACTACTCTGACTACTTCACAGTATCACAAAGAGCTACATTATCTAAACACTACATTCCCCATTATAAATAATAAAATGCATCAGCTTGCAGCACAGCTCAAACATGATGATACGCTTAAACTTTCTGAAGAGCTCCAGATTTTTAAATATCTATGGCTCATGATTTGGATATTACAAAGGGAGTTAAGATGACATACTTCAAACAATTAAATTGCACTGTTAAAAGATGCTTCTGAATCTTAACAGTAGATATTTAAGCCCAGTCACAAGTTGTCCAGTCCATTCTATTCCTTTCTCTACTACCTTTTGGTAACAGAAAACAACTGGCAGTTACTTTTACATACACACTTCCAAATCCAGCAGCTGGATGGGACACAGATTTAACAACAGAGTACTAAAATCCTGAAAGAAAAGGCCATTTTTTTTTCTGATGAAGCAGCAGGCATTGAGTAGTGCTATCATTAAAAAACAGAAAAGCAGAATACTTCATCTTGTCTGAAAATATGACAATAACTGGGTCTCTACTTTCATTTCACATAGTAAAACCAAGAGGACTGAAACTTAATAGTGCCCAGATCCACTAATACACACAAATAATAGTAGTAACAGTTAATTTCATGTGAGCCCCACAAAGTCAAAGAAAACTTTGAGAATGGCTTCATCAGACTGTAGGGCTCACTCACATCATTCTCATAGGTCAGACTCACAAATAGATTCAACCTTTTTCATTGTTTCTGAAAACCGTACTGCGCTGCCTTTTATGCACTAGTCATAGAAGAACTCTTTATAGTATTTATGTCTCAAATTAATTCCTGATACATTCACAAAGGTAAACATGTAAAAATAAGAAACCTTGATTCCAGTGCAGATTACTAAGTACCTACATTTCTGTTGACAGAAACGGGAAGCTACCTATTAGCCTTTTTCCTACAATAATGCCATTACTTTATCATTCATTTATGGCTTTCAAGTCTTGCTCACCTTTAATATCTGGTAGTTGCAATAAATCATATTCTCATATCCCACAGAACAGTGTTCTTCAGAACGGGCTTCAAAATAGATACAGAAATAGCAATATGGGCTTCTATCCTTTTCACATGCACCCACTGTAACAGCCACCTTCAGGAAGAGTAGCTCAAATGCAGCAAAGATCTATTTGTACCATAATATTAATGATTTCAGATAGGATTATTTGTCTTCCATTTATGTAACTGTTACAGCTCAGTGCCTGTGAAGAGAGATTGGGACTGTTACCATCTTCTCTGGCTGTACAGTTTCTGAACTCTAGCTCTAATACAACAAGGAACGATAAAAAGAGCAGAAAAGGTTCCTTTAGTTACTGGTTTACAGTTATGAAGGCATCTTTTCCTCAATACATGGTTTAAATAACTTATTCTTGGCTCCAGCTATTAACTGTTTTCCTTCTTCCTACCTCTTCAGTATTTGTAATAGCAATTCTCAGGCAAAATTAAATGCCTGGCGACACCCGCACAGCTCTTCTCACCAGAGCACTCATTTAGTTAATGAGAAAACAATTCTGTTAAGGTGAAACAGGATACCTCTCACTTGAGTTCAGCTGAGCTACTTATGTAGTACTTACAATAAAGTAAGTAGATAAACTTATCTTTAATCATTAAAATGAGCAAGATTATATGATTTTTAAATTTAACCACTTACCTACTCTCAGGAGCAACCACACCATGCATCTCTTCCCATACAGTACCAAGGCCATTTGGTAAATATGCGCTTCAAAAATAGCTTCCATGTTACCAGTTTTGAAAACTCCCATTCCTAGAATTTGCCTGTATTTGAATGTTGTTCGAAACTAATTCAGCTCCTGTATTTGCCGTAAGTCCTGCCCTGTCTATCATTGCTTGCCAAGGCTGCCTCTTACTGTCTCTTCTGCTACTACAAAATATGGATCATAAAATCAGGTATGTCCTTCACCTTGGCAGTTGCTAACAATCACAAATTTTGCTTCCATTTAGGACTGTACATTGACTCACTTCCCTTTGCAGGCCTCCAGGGCTCAAGCCTTTCAGTTATACAAAATATTACAACCCGCAAGTTTATAGTGTTTTGATCAACAAGCTTAAATAGGATAAAAGTCAATCAAGAGCATTATTGTTCCTCCTGTCTGGGTTCGTAGAGGTTTCAAAACTTTTCTCTGAACAACAAAATTGGGAAGAAAGGCAACTGGTGGAATTTCTGTGATTATAGCCACAACAAATGACCACTACAAAGGGGAAAAAAAGTTACAGTTAATGTAGCCTGTCTTAATGATGACATTTAGATCTCTCATCAGTTGCTATTTACTGGACAGGAGCTCACAGGTGCTTAGCAAGTTTTTTAGTATTTTTAGATGGAGGTGACCTCAACAGTCCTTATTAGTAACCTCCAAATAAGCTCGTCCTCAAGTTGTTAACTTTCAATCACCATCACTAGGTTTGTCAGATTCTAGAATCAAATGGTAATGTCAGCAATTTTTCAGCAAGCCAGTATTTCAGAAAAGTCTAATATCCCTGGGATTGGGAGGAAGAATTGTAAAATGTCCTTTAGCAGTTAATAGCAAGCTACGCTTGATATATTGTTCAAACCTAAAATATCTTTTCCCATGTCGAGTCAAAAGGATATACCAAGGAGAAAGGAAAAGCAAACAAATGGACAACTCAACTAACAAGTTCAAATACTTAAGTGAACACACAGTGCAAATTTTAGCATGGAGAATCAATTAAAACTTATTTAGCGTATTAAACACTTCTGGAAAATGCTTCAAGGAAATGTTTTGTTAAAAAGTCATATCATCAAGAAGAGGATTTGAAGGTTAGAACACAAAATATTTGCAATACGTAAATTATTTTTTTTTGCAAACATATATAGAGTACTTCAAAGAACTTCTACTAACATTGCTACCATTGATAACACTTCTAAACATATTTCAAAGTGTAAGTCACAAGCAAGAATATACCTCTTCATCCAACACTGAAACATCCAGGTACCAAGAATTAAAAATCTGACACATTGTACTAAGATTCTGAATAGATCCTATTTTTTTTCAATATTAGGAAATGTAACCAGATGCAGTACATTCGTTGCCCAATTACCATTAGCTGCGTTTTTGCAAACAACAGGATGTACAAGTGTCATTTTTAATGAAAGATAATCACATCCCAATTTCAGGGTCCTCCGATGTTAAAAGAAAAACCACTTAAGCTACCTTGGTTTTCCAGTTATCAATGTTTCAATTATGAATTACTGTTGGGTGGGGTGGAGGGGTGACATTATTCATAAAGTACTAACTATATTTTGTCAACAGTTCATCTTAAGCTCTTACTACTTTTATACTTGTAAGACATTATTTGTTACCATACTATCAGCTCTCCATCATCATATCACCTCATCAGCTCATCATCACAAATCTCTTGACTTCAGTGAAAACCTGTCACCGGCTTAATAACTTGTGTCTTCAGAAGCGGTTATCCTTACATCTGTTTACAGTCT